TTCCATTTTATTAAGATCCTGATTGTCTTTATTTTTTAGCTTCTTAGGAAAAGAAACATATTCTCTTTCCTTCATATTCTTTATAGCTTCCAGACTCTTACCTACTTTAGCTTTCCCTTAGAAATGATTGCATTTTTCTTTAAGTCTGTTTTAAACTGTTCTATTTTAAACTGGTGACAGATTGGTTTTGCTTTCTCTGGAGCAGCCTATCACCTTTATATTTTCTTGATTTCTCTACCTTTATTTAAACCTCATGTTCTGTAAATGTCTCCCTAATTCTCTTTGCTCTGGCATCTCTGCAGATACCCTCTTTCAGCCCTCCACCCTCTGCTCTCCTCTGGACTGGCTGCTTTCTATTTATGTACAGTTTGGTGACTTCCTTTCACTGCTCTCACAACTACTGTGTTCTAGGTGCCATATTCAGTGGTGTGCAGGTAAATGTTTAACAATGGGTTCTGAAAACAAACAAGCAAACTCTTATTTTTAGCGTTTCCTGACTTCCATGTTGCAGATACTCCCATCGTGGTATATTGCCATGGTGTGTTATCAACTTGACGTCACTAATCATGCAGTTGGGAAGAGATATATGCAGTTCCTTGGCTGGGGCCAGCGCCTTGCCCATACCACCGATTAGGACCATTTTTACAGAGATATTTCTAAAATACATTCATCCTTTTTCTGAGTTAAGGAAGCATCCTGGATACTATTTAAGCTCATTTAGTGGCCCTGGGTCATGAGTATCAATATCATACTCTAGGGCAAAAAGTGTTATATCTAAACATGCCATTTAGAGAGGAGATATTTGCCAATAAACTAAAGGACTAAATAACTTAAGTAGAAAATTAGATTAAATAATTAGGTCAACAATACAATAGTGACTTGTTTATTTTTGAAGATTTTGGTCTTATTAGTTAGGTTTTTAAAATATAATACTCAAATCTAGTTCTAATAGCTTGTATAGTTCAGGGATGGGGAAAATTTTCATGTTGGAAGGCTGCATTAATTTAGCTGTAATCAAATAAGGCCACATTCAAGACACTTCAATTAGATATAATTTAAAATGTACATTATTTTATAAAAATCTAACTAGTATTTACTTAATAATTGAAAACTATTTGTTAAATTTAAAGTTAACTAACCTTTTAATGGTTTTGTTGTGTCTGCTTTTTGTTGGAAAGCATTTGAATATTTGGTTGCAGTATGGGGGTCTGCAGTTTCAGTTACTCCTCTAGATGGGTATCAGTCATTTGTGACCTTAGGGCATCTTGATTTGGGTTAGGTGAGAAAATGTAGATTTGCAGCAATAAGTGGTTGAAAGCAAGAAAGCATTTTGAGGGATATGTTGCCAAAGGTGTGGGTATTCTACTGCATTGTTCCATATTTCAATTGGATCTTTTTTAGCATCAAACAATGACTTTAAAATGTCATCTACTGAGAGCTCAATCAATTCCACCTATAGTTCTTTAGATGCCTTGGAGATACTAACTAGGTGAAGCTGAAATGCCAATTTGAGTGTTATGTCATAATTCTTGAAGTCAGTGCACATTTCATTCTCCAATTAATAGGTCTGTAACAGCTGTGTATACTTCAAATGATTCTCATATATTATCCTACTCATTAATGACCTTTGCTAACTGGGGAAAAAGTTCATCTGAAATTTCCTTTTGAAGAAGTGTTTTGGAAAAATATAACTATTTTTGAAATGCTTGAATTTTTTGCCACATATCACATATAGACTTATAATAGTTTTACCTTACAAAGAAATATTTAAATTGTTTTGATTTGACATGATATCACACAGAAATCCTGCATTCCTATAAAAATCTTCTTTTAATAATTCACACTGCTGATTCTGTTCTTCATAAAATTTATCTGCTCTTGCAGAGATAAAATTTTGGCTAACACCTGTCCTTGCAATAGCCAACACACTTTAGAATGATAGGGCAAATTCACACTGAATACCTCAATACCTTGACTTTAACATATTACAAAACTGACAATGCCATCTTGCATTTGCATGAATATAGTTAAAAATACTTATAACTTGTTGCAAAGTGTCACTTAAAATAGTAGCTCTAGCACATAGATTTTGCTGATGTGAGATACAATGAAAAGAAATGAGAACATATGAATTTGATAATACTTTTTTTATCTATGCAATAAACCCTTCGTGTTTTCCTGTCATGGAAGGTGCACCATATCTGTACATACAATCACTAAATTTGCCAAATTCAGTCCAACTTCACAGCATTTATCTTGAAAGATCTTGAAGATATCTATTCCCTGTGTTTTGTTTGCAAGAGTGCCCAAAGTGAGTAGCAAAGAAAATCTTCTGTTATGACCTAAAGTATAAATGAAGTGTAAAACCTGCACCAAGTCTGTAGTATCAGTTGATTCATCCAAAGCAATTGAATTATATGTATTCTCCTTTGGAAGTATTGCATGAAGTTGTTCTGTTAAGTTGAAGGCTAATTCATGCTGCTGATCAGTTACGTTCTCCTTAAAAGAGGTAGTTGTTTGTACTTTGAAATGTTATCAGAGTCTAAGCATCCTACAGCTTCAACAATCATTCTTTCACAATTTCTATATCACTGAATGGCTTCCCTTTCTTCCCGAGTGTATAAGCTACTTTATAAGTTGCTTCAGTGGCATTATTTCCAGGTCTTATTGCTGCTTGAAAGAAATGTCTTTGCTTTTGCTTTTCATCTTTTAATTTCTGCAGTACAACCTTTTGTATCTTTTCCTCTAATTTAAAATATTTGTGGTCCTTATGAGTGTTATAATGCCAATGAGCTGGGCAATTATTCACAAATTCCACTTCAAACAGAAACACAGTGCACAGTTGTCAAAAGCTGATAACAGACTGGTGTACTTGACCCCATAAACTCTCACCAACCAGCCTCATGCGGTAATGGTGCTAGTCAGACAGGGGAAGTTAGAGCTAAATCATGAGCGTACCAGCCGTCGATTTAGCCCTTATGGCACACTAGTGCTCTCATTGTGCCAGTCAATCTGGGAGGATTTTTTCGTTGAAACTTATTTTATCCTTTGGTATTTTAAATATGTTCATTTTAAAATAAAATAAAAACAGAGAAGATGAACAAAAATATATTAATAAAAATAAAAAGGTTTGTTCTGTAAAAGTCGGGTTCAGTAGTCAAAATGCCACACTTAAGGACCAGAAGGCCGCAGGTTCCCCTCCCCGGTATAGTCATTACAGTTGCCCTTCGCCTTTTCCTTGGGATGATTCCCTCTGTTTTCTATGGCCTTTTGTTAGTGCTCTCATTTCAACCCATCTCAAGTGCGTTTTTTTAAGTTCTCAGGGAATAAATATTAATAGCATCTTGAATAAAGAATGCAGATTTTCTAATAAGTGGCATTAATTTGGTGTCTCTTTCATTATGTGTGTTTTCTTTAATATCATAAAAGAGAATACTATCCATGCATCTTCTGACAGAAAAGAAAATGAGTTTTTCTCTGTTTGAAAAGTTCACTTTAAAGGATTTTGTGATGCACAACAGCTTTTAAATAGGGTTGCTTTTCAGAATGAATTGCCTGCAGCTGCTCTTCGGGGTTTCTTTTTCTTTTTCTTTTTTTTTTTTCCAAGCATATCAATCCTGTTTGGACATAAAACAAACAAACAAACAAAAAAAAAAACAGTGCATATTTATATCACTGATGGGCCAATAAATAAAAGGCTTCATTTTTAGGGGAAAGTTCTTGGGAACTAATTAAAGTCATAAGCAGAGACAAACAGGAGGTTGAAAACATGATGCTGCTTCTTATATTTCCCTGACATTTTGTGTTTTAACCATTTCTGTACATCTGTGGATGCAGGAGATGGTGACACGTCACTTCGCGATCAGGAAATAAGTGTGAAATGAATGTGGATCTGGTGTGGTTGTCTGTAGGCATTAGGTCTTTTCTCTTTTCCTCGACAGCCTGCTGAAGGCAAATATTAACAAAGGTAAATTCAGCTTACTGCATGGAGGATGTTTCTTTATGTCGAAGGAAATTAAAGCTAGTCAGGCATACACCTGCCACATAACTAGAAAAATACCTAGGGTGCCATCTTCATTTCAAAGTTGCAGTTTCTAGTGCCATCTGTATGGTTAAACACTGGATCGTTTTATTAGAATTACTATTTTATAAATGTAGTTCTAAAATAAAGCCTGAAATGTATAAAGATTAGTGTTCAAATACAGCAGGTGGAATTGTAATATTTTTCAATACAGAATACAAGAAATACCATTTATACATGATAATGACATTTTTGGTATTCACTGGACCATATGAAATGCATCTATTTCATCTTAAATGGTTAAATGTATATCTTGATACATTTTAGAATTGTTTAAAAAATGTTATGTGTATAATGCAACTATAATAAACTGTGGCATGTCTGAAATAGTTATGGCCCATAATTTCTGTTCGGGTATTCAAAAAAGGATTTTACTTAAGCTAAGATGAATTTTCATGTAGGTATATGTTCTCAAGAAATATGGTTCAAAGGGACTATTTAATTCTAACTTTATTATACATCATGGTCTTGAGCCCAGAGTAAGTAAAGACATAAGCCTCATTTTGAAAAGGTGGTTAATAATTATCACAACTAGCAGTCTAATGAAAGGAAAAGAGACAAAACAGATCTGGCTAATGAATATTTCCCAAGAAAAGTAGGGATGTGTAGGAGTTTTTGGTTTTTGTTCATTGTGCAAAATGATGCTAGTTCTAGTATTGCAAACCTGAAATTATTATTTTTTATTCCAAGTATGTTATGCTAAGCCAATCTTTTTATTAAAAATAATGAATTAAAGTCACAAAATATCTATCTGGATTTTCTACTGTAGAAAATGATTCAAGAAGTATATCTCTAACTCTCCAGATAGGTTAAAAATCTATTTATAATTGAAGTTATAACACTCAAAGTTATCTTAGCATATTTTCTGAGAGAAGTTGCATAAAATAGTACATGAAATATCAAAATTCTAATGATAATGATGTCTGAAAGTGTGATTGACATTGAATATTCAGTCTTTTCCAGCCACGAAATAAAGATTAAAATGGTATGATGATGCTTGGATTAGATTCTAATGGACTTTCTTTGCTTTGTTGTAGCTCTCAGCATTAGAGAGGCAGATCTTTGACTTCCTTGGTTTCCAATGGGCACCTATTCTTGGAAATTTTCTACATATAATAGTTGTCATATTGGGTTTGTTCGGAACCATTCAGTACAGACCTCGCTACATCATGGTGGTAAGTCTTATTTTTATCATGTCACTTCACATAAACACTACAAAATTATTATAAGAATATGAATAAAACAATTTAAGTGGCCCACTCTGATATGATGTTGTATTCCTGTTCTACCCCCCAGATATTCAATTCTGTTAAAAGACGACAAAATGAATGTTTTACAGTGAGAGCAAAGCAACATGCCCATGATGTGAGGTGATACTAATTCTAGTATTGCAAGCCTGAAGTTATTATTTTTTATTCCAAGTATGTTATGCTAAGCCAATCTTTTTATTAAAAGTAATGAATTAAAGTCACAAAACATTTATCTGGATTTCTACTGTAGAAAATGATTCAAGAAGTATAGGGTGATCCACAGTGTAACTGATTTCAAGGTTCACAAAGAAATTTAAAATAGGGTTTGGACAGAGTAGGACGTCTGGTTATGATGTTTATGCTATGATAAGTTGCAATGTGCATTAACAATCCGTGTATCAATGTATTAATCTATCATTAACTTTCAAGGACATCTGTCACTAACCCTAAAAAGCCAACCTATCTAATAATTGTTTAACCACTGAAGACAATAATATAATTTAATTTTAATTGATTTAGGTCATTATAAGTGCATGTACTGATGGATATTTAGTATACACTCCTAATGTATTTCATACTGTATGTTACTGAATTTTTCTCCGTTTTGTCAAGGTAAATATGAAGCATAAATCCACTCTCCAAGCTATGCCAAACATGGTGAGCTCACATTCCATTGCAGAACAATTTAATGAGGTATAGGCTTTGATCCACAATCTAATGGAAGTTATTCACAGTAATTAGTTGTCTTTTCTGCAAAAAGATGGCAGAATTGTAGGCTACCCATGTAAGAAGGTTGTGAGAAATAACAAACATATATAAGTAATTAGAAATAGAAGTAACATATTCTAAAATGCTCATGGAGTCTGAGTAAATGTACAGCATTCAGTAGAATTATTGCATGCTTCCTTACAATGTGGTGACACTGCCTTACTAGAAGAAAACCATAGACTTAAAGACATCCCATCTTTTAATTTCGATTTAATCCATTCACATCTGTGGAAAAGAACGAAGTTATAAAGTTTTCCATAAGTGCACCAATTCTCTATTTGGAGTCTCACAATTGGCTTTTTGATATCTTTTTTCATGTCACAGAGGTGTAGATAACTGGCCCGCAGACCAGACGCTGTACTCAGATGGCCCCGGAGCATTTGATGTTGCTCAGTTTGCTAAGTAAACAAATTCTGCTTTACTTTTCTTCCCTTAAAGATAGCCTTTCCTAAGCCACTGCGTAATCTACTAGAAGGGCATTTCATGGAGTTGAACTTGCAGGTAGATGCTTTAATGTCATGCACAAGATCAAACTACTACTGGATTCTAAGTATGTTCCAGGTTGTTATTGTGAATATAGAGCACTTTTACTCACCACAGACTTTCTGTCTTATGATGTTGGTGTTCTGCTGAGGCACAAAATGCCAGTTGTCTGTGAAATCATAGATGGCTTCTACAGAATGAAGTTGTAGGTATACGTTAGTGACATTATCCTGTCCTATTGCTTTTACATACTAAATATCAATATTAGCCCTAAGTGTTGTTCACACAAGTACTGCCTTGGTTGAAGGATGTGCCTTTTCTCTCCCATATATGGATGTTCCTGCTTACTCTCGGCCTTTCTCCCTTCGTAAATGTTCTTTGTGCTTTTCCTAAATCACTGGTTTAAAACCCTCACTGGCTCCTTAGCAGGATAAGATCTAAGAATATCCTTTCCTGATGCACCTGCCCAAGTTCATGTCTCAACATCCTTTCTTTTTTTTCTTCCTTCCCTCCTCTCTTTTCCTTCCTTCCTCCCTCCCCTCTTTCCTTCCTTCCTTCCTCCTTTTCTTCTTTCTCTCTCCCTCTTTCCCTTCCTGCCTTTTTTTTCTAACTTCCTTCCTTCCTTTTTTCATTTATTTATTCATTCAAAAGATATTTATTGAATTTCCACTGTGCATTTGGCATTGTGGTCAGTGTGGACTACACTGGCGAGCAAATACAGCACATTCTCTGCCTTCCTGGGTGCTTACCTTACAGTCTAGTGAGGGGAGATATGCCTTTATCAAATAATTGTCCACATAAATGTTCAATTACAACTGGGATAAGTGATACAAAGGAGCACATTGTGCCATGAGATGACTAAGGGGGGTCTGACCCTAGCATGGCAGCAGGGTAAGGCACCCTGCAGAAGTGCCTGGGAGGGGAGATCTACAGGATGAGAGTGGGAGTGAGTCCAGCAGTGAAGAAGGAGGTGAAGGGGTTCTTGCCAGGAAGTACCACAGAGCACACAGTAGGAGGACTATAGCAGTAGTTCCCATTCACTCATTAGCATGTACTGAGGACCTACTATATGGTGCTAAGGCTGGATAAATAGGAAAGAATTCAAATTTCAGAGTCCCTGCACTCCAGAAGCTCGTTATGTAAGGAGCGAGGAGGTGCAGGGGCCAGGCTCTCTGGAGGTGGGGAAATGGCAGGAAAGAGGAATGAGACTAGCAGTGGCCCACGGCCTGGGAAGGGCATGAGCCAGATACAGAGACCTGAAAGGGCAGACAGTCTGTGCACTTCAGTGTCACATACTTTCTAATGCTCCCTGACTCTCCAGCTCCTTGTTCTGGTAGCTTTGTGTGGTGTCTGCGCCTCGCCTCTGGCAACATTTTCTCAGTCCGTCATGCACACCCACTCCCATGCACTTTAATGGCTAACCACTCCAGCTTCCTTGCCTCTGTTTCTTGAGCATGATTTATAATTTCTTCATGTTTATGTCTCCCCTACTAGGCAAAGAGCTCTTTGTGACCATAAAATGTAATTGGTGCTCAATGCATATTCATTTATCGCTCTTTCCATCTAGGCCCTACCAGTTCTGAGTGCACCTGTGATAAAGCTGTTGTCACCTCTCTGTCTGGTACATTTTCCTCTGCTTCCCTCTCTCCCTTCTCCCTTCTGTGTATAGAGGAAGGCAGTTTCAGTTCTTTCAGAATCTCCAAAAAAAAAAAAAAATTAACAGTACAAACAATCCATGTTTTTGCTCATTTTGATTCCCTCATTGCATGGGTTATGGCAACCAAATCTCTATCATTTTATTTGCTATCTTATGTAAGATCTTCTCCCAGGAAGGGAAGAAAAAGGAGTCAGTGAATTGGCAGGAAATCCCTCCACATCAGACATGTCATTTGGGTTAACCTTGGCAAGCATCTTACACGGTATATATTAGCTGCCCTAATTTCACAGACAAGGAGAGTGGTTAGAAAGGTTAGGTGACCTGCCCAAGGAACAGGCTGTAAGCCGCAGAGCTGGGTGTGTGTTGGCCTCACTGCTGTTATCGTTAGGTTCACGAAGCTGCTCTGGCATGAACTGTGCCATGTTTCCACCATCAGATTCCAGAGGAGATGTTACCACAATCAGTGTAAGTTTTCATTTTGGAAATGATCTTGGCCTACCTCTCAGCCAATCCTAGAATATCATTACCCACATGGGATTCCAGATTACCTCTTATTCTAACATGGTTATAAATTGTCTATTTGAGAAAAATGCCTGGAGAATCATTAATCCATGAGTATAGGAAATCTTTTCACAAAGAGTGCTTTTTTAGGAATATCATGTTGTTATCTGGGAAGGTGCTTAATACGATTTTTTGAGGGGGGTCACACAACAGACATTTATTTTTAAGCTGTTTTTATGAATTACTTTTGTTTGAAACTAAAATTGGTAGTCTGTAATTAATCCTGGTATGGAAAAAGCTGAAAATGCAATGTGCCGCTATCATATTTACCAAGGTTTGCCTCAAGAGGCACCAACTTTTACATAGCAAGTGAAAGTAATCCTGGAGCAGAAATTCATACTGACTTTTCAATGAGCCGGGAAAGAGCTTTGTGATTGCAAGAGAATCACTTCTGCTATTTTTTAGTATCGGTTTCCTTTATTGGCTGAAATAATTACCAACATATGCTAATTAAATTTAATGCATATCAAACTAACAAACATTTTAGAGCACAAAGTATGTACTAAGTGCTCACAGAGAGGTTAATAAAATACATCTATCCACCACAATAATGTAACAAAGCTCACAGTCTAGTTTTGCAAAAACACAGATAATAAGTCACTGCCATTTCTGACAACGAACAGGGTTCATCATAGTTGAATTTTAAGAATTAATCATTTTTATGAAAATGGTTTATGTAAAGGACCATGAGGAACATGCTCTCCAATGTCTATAGGCAAATTTCCAAACTCCTTACAGAGTAAATGAAAGTATATAAAATTGCTCCTTTACATCTCTCTCCTGTACCTTCTGAACTCCCCACTTGCCCTCCTTGCCATCTCCTCATGGAAAATGATTATATTTTCCAAAGAACATGCTGTCCTTGCCTCCTCAGTTTGCACAGAGCGCAACTTCTGCCTGAAATGCCCTAATCTCCTCATCCTCTCAGAAAACTCTTAATAATCCTTCAACTAAATTGTCTCTGGTTTTTAAAATTTCAATAGATTTAGGGGGTACAAGTGAAGTTTTGTTATGTATACATATTGTATAGTGATGAAGTCTGGGCTTTTAGTGTACCCATCCCCCAAATAGTGTACATTACACACAACAGATAATTTTTCATTCTTCACCTCCCTCTCATCTCCTCCTTTTTTGAATATCCAATGTCCATTATATCACTTCCCATGACCATGCATAGCTATAGATTAGCTCTCACTTACAAGTGAGAACATTCCCACTAACAACTTGAACAAGACAAGGGTGCCAACTGTCACCACTCTAATCAACATAGTGCTGGAAGTTTTAGCCAGAACAATCAAGCAAGAAAAAGAAATAAAGGGCATCCAAATTGGGAAAGAAGAGGTCAAACTATCGCTTTTTGCTTATTATATGATCTTGTATGTAGAAAACTCCAAAGACTCCACTAAGAGACTCCTGGAATTGATAAATAAATTCAGCAAAATCTCAGGCTACAAAA